CACTGGTCCGAGGCAGCACGAGGAAATTATTCCTGTTCCCCAGCCCTGCTGGGCTGTCCTGTCTCTGTCCTGGACCACAGGACTCCCCATTTCCATATGTCTTCCTGCAGGGAAAGTGCCCAGTGCCAGGTTCATGCTGGCAAGACCTCCAGATTCAGAACATCTCGTTTCTTTTTCTGACTCAGATGGCTTAGCTGCTTCTATAACCATTTTATCTAAGAACAGGCTTTTGAGCAGTAACATCTGTTTCCTCAATATATATGTAAATTTTTAAAATAACAACAGCAGTGTAGAAAAAAGAATCCCATACCACTGAGCAAGCAAAGAGTACTTTTGCTTAACTCTCACGGGGACACGGTGTTGCGATACCAACACAACAGGTCCTGCCTGCCTTGTGCATTGCCCACAGCTTGGCCAAGTCATTCAGATCACCAGCAGAGATTTATGACTAGCGTGACGGAGAAAAGGAGACATGTTGGATTATCCCAGGTTCAAATGCAGGCACACTGCTGCTGTACCCAGCTTCCCTTCTGTACCAGCACCCCTGAGACCAAGGGCAATGTGTGAGGCTGCACAACCCCTATCCCAAAATTCAGTGCTGGTGTCTACAAAAAGGCTCAACAAAGTGCACTGTTGCACAGTGAGGAAAAGCAGGACAACCAGACAAGAGCTTAACCAAAAAGCCAGGGTTTCCAAAAAGCCTGTGAACACCTCTTTTGTGCTGAGATTGAAGTTTGCAGGGCAGTTTAGCTCTGCTCTGAAGCAAGAAGTGGCACCTTTGCCACAACAGCCAGCTGAGTCACAGGGCTTTGAATCGCGTCTTCAATACACAGGGCTTTCTCTGTAAAGTGCCGTTTTACTTTTCCTTTCCTATTTTTCAATATAATCAGAAACTCATTTCACGAGGTGTCTCATGGCAGCCCCTGACTATTTTAAAATAAACATTTTCATTAAACAAGTGGATTTTGGTATTAGGAAGTCAGCAACTTGAAAGGGCTTTTGTCAAAAGCTGGTGGAGGCCCTGGTAGACTGTTCAAATATTGGAGGAATTTCTGCCTGCATAGTGAGTCCTTTGACTTTTAGAAAAATATTATTGTTTGAGTTTTCAGTAACTTGGTAGCAAAAGGACAACATAGCTCAATTTTTTTAAAAAAAAATATATACACAATTATGTCATGATAGGCTTCTAATTTTTCTCTCAGCCCATGTGCCTGCTTTTGCTATGGAATATTCCTTAAAAAAGAGTAAATAAATGCACTATAAATAGCACTCAGGGCTGTAGTGACATCATCAGCCTCAAGAGTTGATGCAAAACTCAGAGAGTGTGTGTCCTGAGCCCTCGGAGCCCTCATATGCTCACTGAATTGAGGAGTATGGTAAAGATGTGTCTGTGGTGGAGATGTCCATGTCCTGAGCTTCACAGATATGGTGGTACTGATTGACTCCTGCTGTGCTCCCTTCTAATGCCAGCCTGAGCATTGACCCACAGACTTGAAGGGCTCTAAATAGCAGCTTCTCCATAGAGGCAATCCTGAGGCGAGTTTTGACTCTAACATATTTTGATCTTTGCCCCTTCCCCTCCTGTAGCTCTAAAGACTGTTTCCATGTCCATTTTTAATATTGCCTCTAAGATGCTATTAGTCTTTGTGAAGAACAGCTTGTGTTTCCTTGTTAAAGACCTTCTCTGCCCAAGGCAGGGTATACACCAGAATTAATAAGCGGCTTTGGATAAGTGACTGGATAAAACCAGTCACTGAAAGGAGAGTCTGGAGTTTCAAGGGCTTTGGTAACTGTGTATCTGGTTCAGAGCTGTGCCTTAGACTGAAAGGACTCCCAGTGCCTGGTGTCACTGGCAAGTTCCTTGAAGTCACCAGTGAGCTTCTTAGACAAAAAGAAGTTATTTCCTCATATCTGGACCACAAATTGAATGTATTCACAGCTCAAGGATAAACTTGCTGATGAGCTACAAATAGAAAATAACTGAGACTCTCTTTTTCGAACTGAGTTGCATATTCTGCATGCTGAAATGTGCGGAAGTGCTGATGAGCTAGTAGATGCTGGAAAATATCCATCTGGGTCAGAGTCAACTATGCATGTAATCTGGCCCAGGGAGGAGAAGATTTAGGTGAGGAAATTAAACTCTGGTCCTTCCTTTTTTTTCCAAAAAAAATAAATCCCTTTTTCCTAGTATTTCTGAGAGCAGCTCATTTCTTTTTAACTATTTGAGTAGACATCCATCACAGGTGGCTTTCCTTGAGTTAGTTTATACAGATTCAAAGAGAAACCGCAAAGCAGGAATACTGCAGCTGAGCAAAAACTTCAGAGCAAATTACTTCAGTAGTTTTGCCCCTTCACAAAGCAGAAAGTCTATTTTTATTATTATTTGGTTAAATGTTTTCATGAGGCCTGGATCCAGCCTTTGCTCTGCTGCCTTGGCCAAGAAGAGCTTGGTCACTCAGCAAGACACTGCATTTCCCTGTTCTGCAGAAGAAGCTCAATGGGTGGATCATTTCCCTGCCTGTCAGATGCAAAGTATCCCTACAAGTGTGTGGGGCTAAGCAAATCTCACCTCTCAGGACAAGAGTCATGGATATGCTGGCTGCAGGTGTGGACCCAGGCAGACTTCAAATGCAAAGGTGTGAATGGTGGGTGGCAGTCCTTTCCTCCCGTTCCCTTCGTCACTACCTCAGAACACAGCCATCCAACCCAACACTGCATCTTCAGAAACTGAGGAAGAAATTAATTCCAAGTCTCCCACTTTTTGGTCAAAAATCATAAGCCCTCAGTGCTATGCAAGTGTTGGGAATTTCCTCCTCTGGATGTCTTCTTGGAGTTGAGGGCTGTGACTGTAACAGGTGGCATTCAGTGCTTATGCCAGGCTCCCTCAGATGTGACCACTGGGTGAGGCTTCTGGGCTGGCACCCCAACCTGGGGGTCAGGGTGTTGTGTTAGGCTATAGGAAGCTGCATGCTTGCCTCTCTGGCCCTGGGCAACCAATGTACAGCTCTGTTCATAACGTAATTCCAAGTCAGTGTTGACACCTTTAACATTATCTCATCCTAAAGAGACAGATTTTTAAATAGCTTTCAGCTGCCTGACCATGGCCAGGACACAGGACTTGGAGATCTGTTTTGCTGGTGTTTTATGCCAGACAAAGAGTAGCCATGAGGCCACGTTTGTCACAGGCACTTCCACATCTAACTATCTTTTAGAACATGATGCACAGATTTAATTGTAGTTTGAAAGTCATCGCTGTAGGTTTAATATAGGTAAAATACCAAGAAAAATAATATTGCTTGCACTTTAAAAAAAAAAAAACAAACATAGAAAAACCCAAATGCTTCATTTTGAAGACATTCTTAGCAGCAGCTGGATTGCTGACTTCTTGTACTGGGAGATCATTTATGCTGTTAGGAAGACAGCAGAGCAACTCTTCTGGCAGAGCAACTACTTTTTAGTTGCTTGCCAAATGAGAATGTGATAGAAGGGTAAAATTTCACTCCTACCCTCAGCTACTCTTTACAGTAATGAGATGGTGATTAAGAGTCTGTTTCTTTACCGGCAAGGCTGACAGTAAGTAGCATCCTTTCCCTGGACATGCTCTAGGCAGCTGTGTTTAGGTCTATGGTCCAGCTGCCTGGGGCCATCTCAGGTTTCCTGTCTTCCTCTGGCCTCTTCATTCACTTGTCTTGGCAACTCTCTTTCCTGAAAATAAGACCCAGCAGCCCATTTGCCAAGGCAAGTCCTAAATTCACCACCACCAAGTCTCCCAACTTTTCTTTCCTCTCCTTTCCTCTTCAACTTTATGTTTATGCCAATCGTTCTTTGTGAAAGTGAACAAATGTATAACAAGACAGTAAAAAAAAATTTCCCTGTTTCCTCCAGGCGTTTTGGTGGATTTAAGTCAGAGTCCTCTGCAACATATAGAATACTCCTTTCTCCCGAAAGTAGTTTTCAAGACTTTGATTTTCTCTCTAAAATGGCTGGTGGGAAGCCCCTTTCTTTTACAGGTGTTCAGCCATTTCCCCTTCTCCCACCTTCAGATGAACCCCCTGGTCTACTGCAATGCCAGGGCATTGCACTACTTCATCAGATACTTTACTATTTTGGTTAATATAATTTCAATTTGAAGGGGACGGGGTTGGTGTGTGTGGGGGGGATAACTTGTGAAATAACCAGTTCTTCATTTAAGGGTCCCTCCATTTTATAGCATGATTAACATGTAAGAACAACATATGTTCAGCCTCGCGACTGCATCCCAGCATCTGGATTTCTCAGCTCCATCTGGCATCTAATAAAAGAACACAGCCTCAGAAAGCAAAATGGTTTTTATACATTTATGACAGCCATATAGAGAGGTATTCATTCTGTTCGAGACCACAAATGTGTAAATACACAGGTTTCCTGAAGCAGCCATAACAAGCACTATTGTTTTGATTAAGAAATTGTGAGCATCTGCATAGGTTGAAAAGAGAAAATGATACTGGACGTGGGAGGCTTCCTTTATAGCAGTAACCTTTTAGACCTGCTAAGGATGAAAAGCAAGTCTGATTGATACTGCTAACATAAGACACCAGTCCTGGAAGGATGCTTCTCTACCTGCAGCCTGTGTAGTCCCTCAGCTATACACTATGTTCTCAAGAAAGAGGTGTGTGTGCCAAAGCACATACAGGATCAGGGCCTACAACCCTTTGATAACCCCGTGCTGTTTCTTCTGTTTCTTACACGTATTTCTGTTGCTTGAGATGCTCACTAGATTGTCTTCTTTCTGGAATGAAAAGTGCCAGTAGTGTTTGTTTTTGTTATCCTCATTCCCTCCTTTCCCTGCTCCAGGCAGGAAAGCACTAGCAGCTCTGCCTCATAGGTTGGCAGGAAATTTAAAACGGCAGCAAGCTTCTGCTCGGACCCCCCCCAGACTTTTTTTTTTTTTTTTTTTTCCATTGATGCAGGAGACTATTTAATTGGGGGCTGACTTGTCAAAGTTACTCCTTGACGCTTACCAGTAGCTGCCTAATCACTAACAGTGATTTTTTTCCTCCCTTCCTCCTCCTTTGGACAAGCTCCCCACAATGAAGATGCTGCTGAGCCTGTTTGCTCTGCTCTCTGCTGCCCTGTTAGTCCACACAGCCCCTCCAACTTGCTACTCAAGGGTGTTGTCTCTGAGCAAAGAAATCACGGAGTCCTTTAAGGAGTTACAGACTTCCAAAGCTGTGGTGAGTCTCCCTAAAAACTGCTCCTGCAAAGACGCTGTGGGTTGCTTCCTTCTGACACAAGTTTCTCTCAAAACAAAATTGCAATGGGTTTTTCTTCTTTCCTGCAGGACTCGTGTGTGGAGATGCTGCCCAGGCTGTACTTGGACATACATGTAAGTTTTCACACTTCTTTCTTACTGCTATGCAGTAAAAGCAGCTAATGAAAAATAAGAGTAACTCTTAAGATTGTAGTCCAGAAGAGTGGTTTGAAATGAATTTTTAGAGGTTTAATTAACTAGAGAGATGAGTGAGGGAAAAAAAAAAATCTCATTTTGATCCTTATTAAAATCCCTATAGACCTTCTGAGATTTTACTTCTTTAAAAATTAAAAAAATTAGGAAATCAATATTTCAAAGTGATTACCATTTGTACATTATTGATGGATTGTGACAGAGCCTTTTCAGAAGTTAAATATGTGCAACAAAACTTTGAATAATAATTTAAAAGAAGAAATGCAGAATAAACTTTCCTCACTTGATAAATCTACTTCATTTTATATTATGAGTGGCTTCTGGCACTGCAGCTTTAATAAAGAGAAGTGCAGGAATACCTTGCTGGCTTTTCCCTTTTTAAATAGCCACTTGTTGAATCCAGAAAGAAAAAGTACGCCTGAGGATATGGAAGTGTGATACTGAGAAAAGACAGCAGTAGTCATCTCCCAGCAAAGACAAAATAGCCTCCTGCACACATAGTTTATGTCATAGTGTTCTGCCCTGGGATATTTGACATATTTTGTTTCTTTTCCCAGTGCTCCACTGAGTACCTAAAAGGTAGACAATATCAGACAAAGCAAGAGATGTCTGACACATTTTGCCTGAGGCAACTACACCTACACTGTCAGCTCTTGCAAGTCAGGACCCTCTAGATCCCAATTCCAGAGTTGCCAGTGCCTCACTGCATGGCACAGGCCAAGCAATGTGAGTCTGGTGCCTCAGTTTCCCTTGCTTTAAAGCTTTACCTGCTTCACAAGGACATTGTGAAATTCATGTTGGCTGTGCTTTATTTTGATAATGCAAAGTCTGAGGTAACAATTACTCTGAAAAAAAAAATTTCCTGGTGCTCACAGTATTGCCTGTTGTACGGGAACAGAGGAATCATGTCTGTGAGATCTTGATAATCTGTTCACCAGCTAAATCAGGTTGTCTCTTAAAAGTGAGAGCATGCACCTACTCTGTAGGTAACTCCGCCTACTACAGGAGCAGATCTGATTGTATTGGCACTGCTGCCTCATAAAGCATGTGAGAAATAAGCTGGCAGACCAAAACTCTGTCCATGCACTTTTCCAAGCACTTATTTGGACCGAACGTTTTTGTTATGAAATATTGATGGTGAATTTTCCTAACTAAAGGTTACATAGATTACACTTACATAGAGGTAGGAATTCAAGGTTCCCACAGAGGCAGTAAGAATTTTGGAAGTGGTGGACAAGAAACATAAATCTGTGTTTGTGCAGGGTTACACATACCTCTTTTGCGTGCTTTGCAGAATTACTGTGTGTTGGCAAAACTCCGTGATTTTGTGGCCTACCCCAGATGTGAGAGAGTGCTTGAAGTGAGTGAGCTGAAGGAAAAAGCCCGGAGCCTGTACACCATCATGATCTCCTACTGCAGAAGGGTAGGTCAAGATGCACCAACAGGGCCATATTCTGCCCTTAGCCCCCTCTGTCTCCACCCAGTCCCCTCACTTCAGCAAAACTGGATCAGGGCCTGAGCTTCTCAACATTGTGCTATCTTCTGCCCTCCTCCTTATAAATGTTAGCCTTCTCTTTTGTTTCTCCAGGACTTGGTGTTCCTCACTGATGACTGTAGCGCTCTGGAAAATCCTATTCTGCCTCCCATTGAGCCCTCCATCACTGAGAGCTAAAATGAAGTCAACCCAAAAGTTGTACCTGGGAAGTGTTCAAGATAAAGAGTAAAAATATGTATACATGGTCAACTACAACATTAACAGCTAACATCTTTTTCAAGCACACTAGCAATATTATCTCCAACCTACCCATTTTTCTCGGCCTTGGCAGGAAATGAGCTGCATGCCTTGCATACCTACTGAGCTGCTAGGAAAACTACGGTTAGAAAGTATTTTTTCATTTGGCAAGGTATGATATTTCAGCTTAGCCAAATGTATAAAGTATGTTTTGTTTAAACATTAGATACTAGATTTTTTTTTTTACTCTTTTATGAATAACTAGATTCATATAAAGAAAATACATTATGATCAATACTCTATCGTGACTTAGCAGTTCTTTTTTTATTTGATGGGCTTGGAAGGGATCACTTTTTTTTTTCTTAAAGTGTTTGATAGGAAAAGTGTAACTATGTACTGGCAGTTGTCTCTCTACGTAGCTCATACATGTATGATGATAGTTTTTGATGTCAGACTTGTAAGAATAGAGGTGAAAGTAACCTGTCTCTGTGGAAAACTAAATAAAAATAGCCTTCTAACCCACGATGCTTGTGTTACATCATGTCTTTCAAGATCAACCCGAAAGGTGTCATTCTTACAAACTTACTTCTCACAGTCACTTGCAAGTTGCTTTTCACAGCATAAGCCATCTTTAGCTTTGTTTCCATAGCAATGCAAGCTTTGCTGTGTCTGCATGATTTGACAATATGTAGGTTTCTACTGAGAGATTTTTTTTTCCTTACTGAAAACAATTTCCTTGATGAAATTAGTGGAATTTTTAAAAATACTGCTTCTCTGTTGTGAGATTGTAGGTTGTGAGGCAGTGGCTCAGAAAGCCTATTAAATGTTTGAACAGATCATTGTGTTTCTAAGACACAGCCCACATAGTGAGCTACTGAGATTAATAAAATTTCCAAATAATAGTTCCATAGTGGTGAGTCCCTTCAGTATCTGCAGGACATGAGACCTTCACACCTGTCAGCTCTTTGGTACCAAGAAAGAAAGGATCTTCCCCGCATTCTCGGAAGTAGCCGTTATTACCCCAGAGAGTCTCTTCCTTCCCTCCATGCAAGTTCCTCTCTCTCCTGTACAATATCCACTGGTTGTTCATCTGCAGCACAGCCAACTCTGGTGACTTCGTCAGTGGTCTCACCATGTTTTATAAAAAAACACATCTTCTGTAATCATGGGATTATGTGACAATCTCCGCTCCTCTATCATCCTGTCATCCCAGTGAATATCTGAAGGTATAAACCAAAGTAACAACTCTTATGGAAACAAGTGAAGCATAACATTAATTCAAAGGAAAAAAGTGTGTCAGGGTGGGGGGGAGAGGGGAGGTGTTCTTTATGTTTGAATTATCCTGTTCTGTAGAAACTATTAATCTGATTTTAGCTGTAGAAATTTGACTATCCTGTTGACCCACAGAATAACGGTAAGAAACAGTGAACTCAGGAGAGATACAGAGGAATGAAAGCAAACACGTAGTTTTCTTTTCAGTTTTTTCAAATCTAAGTGTAGATTCAAGGAATGTACCTGTCAGACGTGGTACTTCTCTCCTGAAGATGAAATCCTCACATGCTAGCACTACCACAGGCAGCTCACAGGGGTTCCCACTCAGGTGCCTCTACGGGCATCTTGTAGAGACAGTAGCACGCTCAGCAATATGATCTAGCACCAGGCTGAACTCAAAAAAGTGCAACAGATCAGATGATAGTCCTACTATCAGAAAAATCATTGCTTAGCTTTCCTTTTAGGATTATTCTCCTCTCCAAGCCAGCAACCTCTGTACAAGATCCTACACACTCCAAAGATACCAATACCATTTTTTCTGCATCACCTAGACATACCCAAGGCCAACTCCTGTAACAGCAACCATATCCTGGAATAAGAGCACCTATTAGCACACTGGCAGGGAGCCTGATAACCACATAGGGAGCTCCTTGGCTCAAGGCGAAATGCAAGTGGAGTTGATCTGTTTGCTGTCAGACTCCACATTTAAGTTTTTCCTCCCTCTAACCAAGGGCTCAGCCACCACCTGGAGTAGCTCGTAGTGCTGGGATAACATCAAGGCCTATACACTTCCATACAAGTACCAAAACCACATCACAGCTCCTGCTTTTCATACCTTTGTGCAAAACCAGCCATGGATGTACCTTGCAAGAAAGCACGGTATGGTCACCACAGGCCATGGTGTTTGCAGAGCTAACCCAGGGACTGGGTGGTACGTGTGCCTGGAAGCTGGCAGCAGAAGCCGTTAAATTTTGGCTGTTTTTTCCATCTCCAGATGTCACGGGTTTTGAACACAGGCCTGTTGTTAAGCTTGTGTTGTGACTTGGCAAGCAATCTGCAGAGCAAGACGCATTTCCTTTTCCGCAGAAGCTCACGCAACTCTGTCCCTGAAACTGGACCTTGGGTAAAGTCTGTGCAGGTAACTGAGGCACTTCTGCCCCTGCTTCTTTCCTGTCGCATAGACACATATTTTCTGGAGTATTTGATGAGGGTTTTCTGATGGATCTTCTCATAATTCCTCTTTATCCTGCTTTATTGAAGTAAATAAGCCTTCCCTAGTCCATTTTGAAGGAACTCATGAACCTAACAGTAGATTTCTCCTGTAATGTTCTCCCATTGTTTCCACCACCTTCCAAATATATTTTTTCCTGCTTTAGGCTGATTACATTTGTGAGCAAAATGTAGCCTAATTTCTTTAGGACAAAATATCTTGCAAGAAGTCTTTGGAATTGGAAACAGAATAGAAATCATTACTTTACTTGTATTTCTCTAGTTAGTAACTTTAGCCTTTTCATGACTGACTGTGTTGGGTTT